TCGAAGGATTCTCCACAGATTGGGTTATCGTTGCAGAGCAGCTAGACGGAAGCCCTTATTAAGACCTGCCAACATATTCAGACGAAAGAAGTGGGCAACTGATATGATGATCAAGCCTCTGGACCTTTGGAAGACCGTATTGTTCTTAGACGAATCAAGATTCGCTCAATTTTCGGACAGTGGAAAGATATGGGTCTGGAGAATGCATCACCAAGAGTTTTGACTCAACAGATTGCAGCCAACTGTGAAGCGTGGTGGTTTCAGCGTGATTGTTTGGGGAGCTGTTTGGGTTGGTGGGAGATCGAGCTTAGTGCAGTGCGTTGGCAACATACATTTTGCGAAATACGTCGAAATATTGGAGGAAGGACTCTTGCCACTTTATTCCTCTGGTTTCGTGGACAAGAACACAACGTTGTTCGAGGAAGATGGAGCACCGTGTCACACTTCTAGAAACACCCAAAAGTGGCAGGAAGAAAATGGTATCCAGAAGTTGCTTTGGCCGAGCCAATCTCCTGACATGAACCCCATCGAAAACCTTTGGGCCATATTTGACCAGCAAGTCAAAAAACAACAATAAAAAACCAACTTCGAAGAGCGATCTACTCCAAGTTTTGAAGCAAGAGTGGGCGAAAATCCCACAATCTAAAATTGACGAGATGATTCTCACGATGCCCCAAAAGATCAACTCCACGAAGTGAAAGGAAGATCTACTAAATATGAATTATATATATATCAATTCATGTGAATATGACTGAGAAATTTCATTTTTTCTGAAAAGGTGGTGTCTATTTACTTGTGACCACGCTGTATATAAAAACTCGCATTTTATTGTAGAAATTTAAAATTATATCGTAGTTCCTATTTTGGACAAGTTCGTTCAACACAATGAGCCTGTATTTTTTTCGTAAGAAGAACTATACAGGACTGCATGCTAGTTTTGCAAGTTGTATTTCTGAATTCTTCAAGCGTAGCATAATTCAAATGCTAACTTTCAGAACCTTTCATCTTACCGCCTCATCATTTTCTCAACAGGAACATTTCAACATCAAACAAGTACTCCAAAAATGACTACCCTCTGGCTATAGTCAACAAGAACGTTCAGAGTACCCTTGACAAACCTTTCAACAAGGAAAACACTGTCAATGTTTTTACGGTCTATAAACATGGTGTAACTTCTAAGTCTTTCCACAGGTTAAACTTAGAAGAATTTTCAAAA